GGTGCCTAAATGATGCAAAATGATGTTAAAGAGACGATAAAAGTATGCAAATATGTACACAGATAATGCAAATATATAGATATATCAATGGAAAGGCCGGAGATCATATTCTACAAAACTCAATCTAACATCACAAAGCAACCAAATACTTTTCATTATGAAATCATCGCTCTTTATCATAAGTCATTCCTTAACTAATGAGAAGAAATATTTATACCCAACTAGAAGGACTAGGTTGTTGGAGCGAGGAGCCACGAGTAAGGAGTTGGAGCAACAAAGTTAACCACCAAGGGAAATAAGCTGCAACAATATCTCCATAAAGAAGTAAATTTGAGAAGCGATCTCGCCATGGAGGAGGATAGTGTCAAAGTGCAAGCCTTCAAATCCAAAGAAAAAGAAGCAATATTTCTCTCCATACCGGAGGAAGCGAAGGACACACCCAAAAAAACAGAAGGATGAATCTTATATGAGGAGTAAAGCGAGAAGCTAATGGTGAATCTGGTCGGAAGAAGCTTGACCTAGCCAACATGAAATATCTGGGACCTGAGCTAAAGCTTCAATCGATGATGGACGACGCCTTTCATGGATTTTATCCATAAAGAGAGGAGCATAACCGAGATGCGATGCAGGTAGCCACATCGAGAGGATAAACTGCACACGACAGTAAGGAAAACACAACATGGGTGAAGTCGACAATTGCAAAGAAACATGGAGAAATTTGAGAAAATATGGAGATGACAAAGTGAGATTTTGGTGATTCTGAGCAAGGCCCGGATAGGCACCCATCGCGGGAGAGGAGCATAGGCGAGATTGGAGAGAGTGCTTCACTGGAAAAGGCAGAGTAGATTGGAACTGTTGTCAGAGAAAGGAGAAGAAACTACCTCGGACTTCGTGTTTGGGAGCATCTCAACTGCGCGAACTCTTACTTCTCTCTTTATTTAAATAAAAATAATTACAATATAATTAAAACATAATATTTAATTACAATGAATTTAAAACCTATTTTTTTAAAATATACAAATTCGTCACATACTTTATGAAAAAATTGCTGAAATATTTTCACATTTTTTGTTGCTAACTTATGTAGTTATACATATAATGTAAAATACAACGTATTTAACCCAAACATAAATGATATATTGAGTAAATAATTTTGGAAAAAGTGGTATTTTTGCCCTAATTTTTAAAATTTAACATTTTTAAAAAGTGGTATTTATGAAAAGTGACACTTCAAAACTAAACCTAAATACAACGTATTTAACCCAAACATAAATGATATATTGAATAAATAATTTGAAAAAGTGACATTTTTGCAAAGATTTTGAAAATGTAACATTTTTAAAAAGTGGTATTTATGAAAAATGACACTTCAAAACTGATATTTCTTAAA